CTCGCCTCCATGGGCCTCCCTGGTGGCGGCGGCGCGGCGCTGCTGCCCGGCGGGGGCCACCGGATGGTGGAGCCAGCCGTCAGGGAGGAGTTCGACGTCGGCGGCAAGGGTTCGCTGCCCGATGGCGGCTGCTGGTGCGCGACATGTGGATGTGCGACCTGGAGCCCGTGGCGCGGGCAGCAGCAGCAGCAGCAGATGTGCGTCATCGGCGTGGTTTTGCAGCAATGGGTGGCAGATGCTGCTACGGCTTCCGAGGGCGCCACCTCGGGGAGCCTTGGCGGCGCGATGGGGGCCCAGCAAGGCCAGGAGCTGCTCCGCCTGCTGCGGGGCGCAGGGCAGCCGTGTCAGAACATCGCGCACGGCGTTGACGGCAGCGGAGCCGAGCAGTCGGTGGCGCCCGTGGACTGCAGCGTGGTGCACGTGCAGGACTCGGTCGTGCGCAACACTGGCGGCGCACTTGGTGCGCGGCGCGGGACCGCTGATCGGCGTCCGAAGGCCGCGGTCGGCAAGGACGTGCTGAAGACGAAGGGCGACGCGGCGGCCCAGAGCCAGATGCAGGAGCAGCTGGTGGGGGCCGTGCGTCCCATCGACATGGAGCGCATGAGCGGCGAGGTCGACGACGACTGGCGGCTCATGCAGGGCAAGGGCAAGCGGGCGGGCCGCTGGGAGGCGGCGCAGGAGCTCGCGGCACGCTCGACAGAGGCGTGGGCCGCGGCCGAAGCCGTGCGGCAGGCGGACGCTGCGCGTGCCGCTGCTGCTAGCGTGGTGCAGCGGTGCTAGCGCGGCTGGCTGGGGCGACAGTCGGCTGCTGCGGCGCGCGGCGCGCGTGCGGCGCGTGCGGCGGTTGCGCCCTCGCCGCCGCTGGCGGCAGCCCCTGCCATTAAGATGAAGAAGGGCAAGGAGGCCAAGCAGGGCGCGAAATCGGACGACGTGATCCTCACCGACGCGATTCACGTCGCTGAGCGTGAGGCCGCCGAGCTGGCCAGCGCGGCCCTAGTGGAGTCCTTGAAGGCGGAGCTCGTGCCCGTGTTGGACGCGGTCGCGGAAAAGCTCGGGAAGCGCGCGGTGGTGGCCGCTCTCGGCATGCTCCGTGACGGTGCCCAGCAGGCGCTGGGCCAAGGCAGCTCCACGATCCTGGACGAGCAGGAGTGGGGCACGAGGTTCCTGGACGGCGAGTTCGCCGAGGACAGGGACAAGGCCGTCTGGGTGCAGGTCGTCGCGGATGCCGAGAATGCCCTCGGTTCCGACTGCGACGACTCTGGCTGAAGGTCGGCGTGGTGAAGGTCATCGCATTCGGCCTCGTGGTCGGGGGCCCCGTCCTCTCAGGGCCCCCGTGGTCGGGGGTCCTGTCCCCTCAGGGCCTCCGTACGGTCGGGGGCCTTGCCCGTCGGGCGGGACCCCGCGGAGCCCGACCGCGCGTGTCGCGTGGGCTACGGGCGTGCGAGGGGGGGCGGCACCGCTCCCTCTGAGACTCGTGGATCCTCCCTTTCTCCTCCTCCTCCTCCTCCTCCTCCTCCTCCTCCGGGTATCCCCTATGAGGCGATCCCCCTAAGGGACCCGCTGTGGACTGCACCCGGAAAATTTAGTCAGCCGAACCTCGCGAACCCGTGTAACCGACGTCTCGGCGGCCTCTACCAAGTCGACTGTCTCCGCTGCTCTGTGAGCTTCGTCGGCCCTGTCCCTTGCCGCCCTGGCGCGCTTCACTATGCCCTGCGCCTCCTGGTGTTGCCTGTCCGCCTTCGTCTTGAGGAGGCTATACTCGGGAGATCTCTTCATCTTCTGTGCCTTGGTGAGATGCTGTGAAAAACGCTGGGGGCACTTGCTCATTTTCAAAGTCGACGTTGTGTTGGGATCGACGTCTTTGCCATTTGAGATTCTCGTTCGCGGTGTTTTCAGTATGGTTCCGTTTGTACTGAAACGCACAGCCACAAGCCCACTCTGCGTGCTTGACAGCAGCTCACGCACCTCGGCTGATGGCAGAGGCAGGGGTGGGAGGAGGGAGGAGCGGGAGGGGGGAGGAGGAGAGGAGGAAGGAGACGCAGGGCGCTGTCCCTTCAGAACGAGGACCCAACACCTCAGGATGGTTGGGAACAAACGGCGCCCCCGGGTTTTTTCACATCAACTAACATTCGGCGGCGAGCCTGTGGGGGAAGTAAGAAGTGGCGGGTCTTCTCAGAAGACTCGGAAGGCCTCTGGCCTTCTGCGAAGTTCCCTAAGCCTTTCCCGAATACGCAGAGAACTTCTAAGAATGCCGGACGGCTTCTGAGAAGTCCCGCCGCCTTCTGAGAAGGCCTCCTCCTTCTCACTTCCCCGCCTCGCTCAGGGGTTGATAAAGTTGCCCCTGGCCCAAGGTGCCCCCAGCTTCTCGTCCACTTTTGGAGCCCCTGGGGCCCTCTGGGCCTCGTGATGGGTGCCCTGGCGGCCGTGGAGACCTCCTTGAAAATCCTGGGGGCACCCTGGGCCAGGGGCCCTTCTTCGCAACACCCGACTCGCGCGCCGCCGAAGCGTGCCTCGACGGACTCTCCCATCTCGCAGCTCTTGCTCGCCAGCACCTCCGCGGCCGAGGCGCACTCCTCCAGCGCGTGCTCCGCGGCCTCCAGCGCGGCCCCCTTGTCGGGCCAGGCGGACTCTGCCTCGAGGAACCTGTACAGTGCCAGTCTTCCCTCGGCACCTGAACTGATGCCAACATCGCTCGGGGCATTCCGCTTCCGTTCAAATTTTCTGCCAAGACACACGACAACAGAAAACGGCGACCCAACACAGAAACAACAACGGCTTCAACCCGGAACCGAACCGAACACGGCGCGACCGAGAACCCCTAAATGGAAAAGCACAGACCCCAATGTGGACAACAACAACAACAACAACAACAACAACAACAACAACAACAACAACAACAACAACAACAACAACAACAACAACAACAACAACAACATCGACCTTGACAACGGAACAACAAGAGCCCCCAGCGTCTTCACCATCATCTAAGCTCGGCACCCTGCGTCGCCTCAGCCACTTCAGCAAGCAACCTGTCCAAGCGCGCTTGAGCCTCCTGCCGCTTCTGGTGGTCCGCCACCGCGCCCTCTCGGCACGCTGGGGCGCGAACTCGAGTGCCCGTGAGCCGTGCGGCGGGGCCCCCGTAGCTTTCCAGGCGCGATTACCTCGAAGCGGTGCCCGTGTCAACAACTCGCGCACTGCGTTTTGCCCCACCCCGCGCTCGTATCGACCAGAAGCAGGATCAGTCAGCATCGAATCGGGAAATTTGACCGAATCGAAGTCTTCTTCGGATCGGGCTGCATTAGCACGGAATCGGAATCGAGTCGGATCGGCTGCGCTAGGATGCACAACAGCGCCGTGCAAACATCGAGCCGCATCTGATCGCCGGAATATCAAAATCGAATCGGATCGGGTCGGATGAACTTGGTATCGAATCGGATCGATCGAATCGAACTAGGCCCCGCGCAAGACGGCCCCACCACGTCCCAAGACCGCCCCGAGACGGCCGCAATGCATCCGAATACAACACAAATGCTGACGGCCCAAATATGCTCCATAGACTCCAAGATGCCCCCAAGCGGCCACCACCCACCATGCGTCCAATGAGTCTTCGCGCAGAGCCCTTGGGGGGGACGGCACAATAATGATTTTGCAGTGTGCTCTTTGCATCCGAACCTCGGCGGCTTGAGATGACCTCAGGAACGCGCATCTTTCCTTCTGCACAGACCTCCTCAGTCGCGCAGCGCCCTCTATTAGACAAGGCCCCTCCCCAAGCTGCTTCGTAAACTCCTCAGTGCTAGACGCGCATCTTCCCCTTGCCGTGCCCCCTCTGCTGCTCAGCAACCTCTGTTAGGCAGGCCCTCCCCAAGCTGATGACAATGGACCCGCATAACAAGGACGCACGAGAAGGATACAAGGGCCTTGGAAGGCCATGCCGGCACTTGGCGAGCGGGGCGCGGCCAACGAAAGCGGCCAAGAATGGTCCAAAGGGAGGGGGATGCAGGGGTAACCTTGGGAAGTTGCTCATCCTTACTATGCGGGCTCACTGTGATCAAACTCATTGGTGCTGGGCGTGTCCTTCCTCCTGCACGGGCCTGGGTCGCGCATTCTACGGGTGCCCGAAGGGAAGCCACCGCGACGGCCCGGCGTGGTCGCAAGCCGCGGGCCGCCCCACGAGGGCCCCGAGAGACCCGTCCGAGCGCACTGTAGGGAGAGCCTCCTCTGGAGAGCTCGGCAGAGCTATGCAGCGCCCAAGACGGCCCCACGACTGCCTCGAAGGTCCTAACATGCCACCTGCAGCTTACAGTCGGACCTAGATCAGAGGAACATCCCTCAAGATCACGAGACCCTCCGTCGGCCAAAACGCACAGAACATTCAAGGGTACCCTCCCCAGGGTGCACCAGATCATCCAGCAAACACGAAGGACACCTGGATACCCTCCCCGAACCGACCTCGATCTCATTTCTCGGTCCGACTGCACTGAAATGACCGCCGGGGTTGCTAAGGGATACGTAGGGGGGTGCTCAGGCGTGGATGCCGAGCCGGCTGATACCTGGCCTAACCTGGCTCATGAGAGGGTTGCTACAAAGTGCCCTAGGGGGGTCAGGAGGTTTTGCGAGTGGACTCCGACCACTTGGCAGAGTTTTCTTACCCCCATGAACCACTCAAGGCACCTTGTAGCCCACATATAAGCCAGGCTAGGGCAGACACAACCCACCTTAGCATCTACTTCTAGCCCCCCTATCCCCTTAGTAACCGCCGCTGTCATCTCATTAGACGGCCCCAGTAAGTTCCCAAGGGGCCCAACATCTGCCCATAAGAAGCAGAGCAACAATTGCGCAAGTCTAAGGTCACGCGCAGATGCAGCACCGTAGCATTGCCCAGGGGGTCCCAAAATGGCTCTGACCGAGACGTTCGGGAGATTGGCAGGATCATCCTGAACGTGCTTCGGTGCTCCTCTTGCCAGGGAAGCGGAGCTTGCCACAGGCAGCCCGATACCTCTCTAACTCAAGTACCTTGATGCGCCTCTTTTCCACCTCTGCCTCCAGCCTGTCGGAGCTATTCTTGAGCGCCCTGCAGACGTCAACCAGGCTCGTCACTCTAATCGTGCCGGCAGGTCCGACTTGCCGCATGTCGACTTCTGCCTCGCGCATGACCTGGACCGCCAGCTTCAACTGCTCCAACCTCCCCGCGAAGGTCATAAGCACCTCCAGGCCCTCGTCCGTGCGCGAGCTCTCTAGCTTGCCGAGGCGGTCCCTGATCTCATTGGCGCTTCCTATCTCGTGCTGCACGACGTGCACCGCCGCCTCGAAGTGGTCACGCCTGCTCTGCTCGTCGACTTGCTCTGGCGCTTCCTGATGAGCGCTGCCCCCCTCCCCTCTCCAGGAGGAGCAGGGAGGGGGGAGCAAGGAATAGGAAGAATCCACCGCCTCTGGATCCCTGCTCCTCCTCCCTCCTCCTCCTCCTCCTTCCTCCTCCTCCTCCTCCGCCTTCCTCCTCCTCCTTCCGCCTCCCTCCGCCTCCTGCCTGCTCCTCCCCCTGCTCATCCCAAGCCTCCGACTTTGCTTTTTGTTGCTCCTCACGATGTTTTGTTTGTTTGTTTGTTTGTCTGTCTGTTTGTTTGTTCTTTGTTGCGCAACGCGCAGCCCTGGCAATCTGGACCTTTTCCGCGGGGCTGGCTCATCCCGAGCCGTGTCTTGGCGGCCCCCCGACAAGGGGCCCTTGGAGAGACCGAAATTGGACATAAGAAGGGCATATGAGCATTCCGCCGTGATTTTTCCTCGCAGCGGGAGGCCTGGGCTCAACTTCCCGCCCCCCGGATTCGCCCCCCGTGTCGCTCCTCCCCGTTGCTGCTCCTCCCTGCTGCCGCTTGCGGTCAGGAGCTTTTGCTTAGCGAGTCGCGGCGGCGGCCCCAGCGACGCGCTACGCCCTGCAAGCTGATGGCGTGCCGCTCCACTCTGCGAGACGCGAGGCCGGTAAAAGGCTCGAGGCGCCGACGCTTGCGGACTGGGACGTGGTTCGCCCGTGTCGCCGAAGGGTGCTGGGCCAGAACCGGCGGAGCGAGACGGTGAGCCGTAGTTGCTCACGCTCGCGCCGAGCGAGCGAGCGATCAGCAGGCAAAAGCGAGGAAGCTGCTGCTGTTGCTGCCCCGCTTGTGGGGGGAAGGATGACCATGACCATGACTGCATGCTGAGAAGTCGGTGCTGACCTCGGCGCCCCATCTAACGGGGACTCCACTGACGGGTACTTTGGCCAGTGAGCCGGCGAACCCAGCCCTCCCCGATGTGGGCAACGCTGCAATGCCAGAAAGAGGGCCTACAATGACAACTTTAGGCGACTTTCCAAAGTGCCCGTTAGTGAATACCTGGTGCGTTGCCGCTGACGACCTGGGTCTTCGTCCATTCCGGTCATCGTCGATTCGTGGACTGTCCTCGCGAATCGGCGACGGAAAGCATGTCACGGCCATCGCGCTGCTTCCCTCGATCTTCCTCGCTCCTCCCTCCTCCAGCCCCTGGCAGTCCCTCCCCCCGTGAGATCCGACATCACGAGCAAAAACTGCAGCATCGGAGAATATCAGCCAACGCGGACCCCAAACCGTGTCTTCTGGCACGCTGCGTGGTGCAACCACTGTGGTGCAATCTATGTGGTGCGACGGACTTTTACAAGTAAACTGACACACTCGATGCTCTTGCAAACATCCCTCCCGACCACCCGCAACTTGTGTGGCAAACCTCATGCGGACGAAGCGGCGATTGGCGCATCTCTAAGGCCGCATTGGCGCGCGTGCGCTCGTACGCAGATCGGCCAGCTGGCTTGGCAGAGCTGATGCGGCCACGATTGCGGTGGCCGATGGGAGCTTCCCAGCGCGTCTCAAAGGCCGCGCTGGCGCGCGGGCACCTCGGTGCAGGTCGGTGGCTCGAGCGGGCGCGGTGGCATGATGACGTCGACAACGGCGGCAACGCGAGGAGGGCGATGTCGGCGGTGATGATGACGAAGACGACTGCAAGGCCAGCGACGGTGCCGATGATGGCGACGACGCTAATGAGGATCATGTCCATATGTCGAAGATGAATGTGGTTGTGGCGATGATGACGGCAATCGCGATCAATGACCCACGATGACGACTGTGACGGTGCTACGATGGCCTCGATCAGGGCCATGGAGACGAGCACGCGCGCAGGAATTCAAGACATATGGCAGACATTTTGTTTACAAGCCATTGGTTTTCGTTTGTGTGTGCGCGTGTTTTGAAGAGCTCTATGTTGACATGCTGTGCACACCAATCCTGGAAAGATTTCGACATACGCTCGCGGCGGTGCGCGCACGTGGCCCACGTGGAGGTTGTTGCAAACACGATGTTTGTGCCCTTGGTGCAGGACGGAATCTCACGAGCGCACCGCGCGGCGAGATGGCATGGCAAAATGTTGGCGCATTCCTGAAGAACATATGGTTTTCTCCCGGTTTAAGTTCCGATGAAACACCATTGGGTTGTGAAGGCTTGTCCGTTGACGCGCTTGTGAGCACAGTGTGTGTTGGTATGAGTTTGACGAGTGCGCGCGTGCACTTTGCTGTTTTTGCCCACAAGGGACTGTTGGGCAATCTTGCTTTCAGATAAACGAATGTGCGCGCACAGTATTCTCTGCGAAAGGTGAGGGGGGGATGCCTGTGCAGCTGTACGGTGTGAGTTTACGGATGGAATGAACGGGTGAAATGGCTTGTGTGTAAATTGCAGATCCCCAAGTGGGGTCGATAACCCTGGGGGGTGGGTGGGCGATGGGGGGGGGGGTACACCCCAATTCGCTTCAAGCCAAGGGGGCCTTTAATACATGTGGTGCGAGCTACGTGGTGAAACCGATGTTAAACAAAATATGTGGTGTAAGCTATGTGGAGCAATCTTGTTGGTGTGGTTGATGTTGGCTTCCTCGCGCGTGACCACCTCCCGTGCTCGCGTAAACACCCCACTCGCCCAACCACAACTTGGTAAAACCCATGCGGCGGCGGTTGCGATGGCCGCTTGGCGTTGGCTGTTGCATCGCTGCGGCTGCGCTAGCGCGCGCAGGCTCGCGCGCAGAGCGGCCAGCTAGTCTGGCGCGAAAGACGCGGCCGCGGTGGCGCTGACCGCTGAGAACTTCTCAACGCGTCTCGCAGGCCGCGCTGACGCGCGGGCACATCAGTGCGAGTCGGTGATTCGGGCGGGCGCGGTATCATTGCGACGTCGACACCGGCAGACACGGTGATGATAGCAACGATGCTTGTGGCGATGATGACAATGACGACGGCAAGAACAATGACGGCGCCGATGCTGATCACGCCGATGACGATGATGGTGTCCTCGCGTCGGTGATGAACATTTTGGAAGGATTTCGACATGCGCGCGCGGCCGACGGGAGCGAGCGGCCCGCATGGTTTATTTGATAGGGATCGTGCCCCCCCCGCGCGCGCGCAAGGGCGTTCGAGTGGTTTCGACATGCGCGCGCGAGAGGCCCGTTTGATCGAATGTGGTGAACATGTGGAAAAACCCGAAATGGTCTTCTGCAAAATTCGCAAGAGCGCGCCTGCAGACCTGCTCTTGTGAAAACTCATGTTGCAAAGCCTTTTAAGAACATGTTTCCGGGACGCTCGATTCTGAAATCATTGCGAAATCTGATAGATTGTTGAAGGATTTCGGCGTGAGCGCGCGACGACGCGCGCGCGTGCACATCGTCCCGCTGCCCTGCAAGAATTTATTGAAAACTGTTCGCTTGTGATTAATGATTACGAGCGCGTAGTACTATTCGACGAGGATGATGAGGGGGGGTCGATAGTGGCTTGGCTGTGGTGGTATGCATTTGAATTCAGATTAAACGATGGTGCAGAATCGTGTGTACACTGAGCATCCCCAGAGTGGGCGGTTCACCCGATGGGGGGATCCTTATTCCTTTCCAGAAGAGAGAAACTACGTGGTGAGATATACATATATGTATTCATGGTGTAATATCTCTGCGTGCTATCTTTGTTACGGCAGGTTCGTGTCGTGTCGACCCAGGCGTTGGTTCCTGACACCGCGGGGATCGTTCAACCTTGAACGATCGGCCATTTCCGCAACGTCCAATCGTTCAACATCGATCGATTCCGGGTCGCCGGCGGCGTTCAACCTTGAACGCCCGCGCTGGGGTCGCCGCCGGTCGACACGACGCAAACCTACCGTAAGCATTCTATCCGGTGTACAGTTGTTCAATCTACGAGGCTCGCACAACGATGTGCGGCGGTGACGGGCGGCCACAAGCCAGCCAGACCGGCGCCCAGGCCCAGAGAGCTGAACAGGGACCGACCTTCCCGGCACTCCTAGAAGCCTACCACGACATTTTCCTAGAACCCAACAGTGCTTTTAAGATCAAGAGCGGTGCTCTTGGAACATAACCCCGGTGTGTTAAGATAGGACGGTCTCAGCCAGAGACGTTCTAGTCGAGAACATGTCGTGCAGACCACAAAAGGTTCTTAGAACCTTCTGTGGTGGGCCTATAGGCAAGCCGAGACGCTGCGCCACTGCTCGAGACAGGCGGCGGCGACGGGCGGCGACGGCGGCCACAAGCCGGCCGGACCGGGCCACAGGCCGCACAATCGAGGTCGGGGCGGCGGCGACGGGCGGCGAGGGGCGGCCACGGACCGGCGGGACCGAGTCACTGGCCCAGCTCCTGAGACGACACATGGGGTCCCCTCCGTCTGAGCTTTTTCTTCGGGTGGAGGGCTCAGGGTGAAATCCACATGGGCTCTTGCACCTCGAAGATCCATCCGTCTTGTGGTTCGCCTTCTGCAGACTCAAGCGTCGAACATCCATCGGAACGGCATTTCAGATTTTACCCTCTGCCCTCCATCCCCCCAAGAATGTTCGGTCAGTGCAAGCACTGTTTGGTGGAAAATCGGCCGGAGCCCTGGACCCAATCTTTCGGCTGAATTTTTCGCGCTGGATCGATCTGTGATGGTCCCGGGGCCCGAAACTAGCCAAAACGCCTTGTGTGACAAAATCGTAACGCTCGGATCAAGGATCCTCCACCCCGTCCACCTCCACCTCTTCCTCCCTCCTCCTCCTCATCCTCCTCCTCCCTCCTCCTCCTCCTTCTCCTTCTCTTTCTTCTGCCTCCTCCTCCTCGTCACCAATTACACAGTCGGAATAATACTCACCTCTCTCCCCTGGTGACGTCCAGAAGATGTTCGACCCCCTCTACGTAGTGTACACAGGATTCCCGGGAGTTGGATTTTCGCTTGGGTTTTTGTTTTAAAATGTTGCTCCCGCTGACGCGCTGGCCTCATTTTCGGGCTTCCGCTCGTTCCGAATCGTGCTCCCGCTGCAGCGTTGGCCTCATGTCCGCGCTTCTGCTCGTGCCGAGTCGTGCTACCGCTGCAGCGCTGGCCACATTTCCGCGCTTCCGCTCGTTCCGAATCGTGCTCCCGCTGCAGCGCTGGCGTCATTATTTCCAGTGCCATGCCACGGCATGCAATGAAATGCTATGTGGTGATCCGCTGCGCGATGCCATGTCTTCAACTGCAATGCCAGGATATGCCGTGCTTGACTACGCAATGCCACGCCGTGCTCTGCCATGCTACGCTTTGATCTTCAGCGACATGCTATGCCATGTTCTGTTCTGTGCCGCTGTGCGATGCCATTCTTTGCGCTGCAATGCTTTGCGATGCAATTCTGCACTACGCAACCTCACGCCATGCTATGACATACTACGCTCTGCCGTGCTCTTCTATGCCCTGCAATGCCGTGCTCTACGATGCATTGCGCACCCTCTCGGGATCATTGTCCTGCTCGACATCCGACTGTGCGAATAGAGAGAATATTCACGCCATGGCAAGGGATGGGAGGGAGGGGCAGGACGTCAGATATGACGCGGGCGCACCTGGCTTGTGTCTCCCCCCCCTCTCCAACTCCCGCCCGCGGCAGCCCTCGGCGGCCCAGCGCGCCTGGTCCACCTTTTCCCTCGACGGCGGCGGCACCACGATGCCCTGCCCCGGGCGCGCTGCTGGGCGGGCCCCTCCCCGCTGCCGAGTCTGAGGGGCAAGAAATCGGCGGGGCGCCCGGGGGGAAACTGAGAAGGGGCAGGCCTCCTCATCGCCATGGGGGAAGCGGGTCCTGAGGGAAGCGGGAAAAAGGCCGCCGCCGCCCGAGCAGTGAAAGAGTGCCCGCACGCCCCACGGGACTGGGCAATCGCCCGACTTTTTGGGCTGCGCTCCGCGCGCCGCGCGGGTCGCCCTCGCGCTCTCAGAGCCGTCGGCTGCGACGGGGTGCGGTCGGGAGCCCTGGCTTGGCGTGCCCCTCCTCCGGTTCTGGCCCGCTTCGCTGCCTCGCGACACGCTGGCCACGCCCCGAGGTTTTGTTCGCCGTGTTCGGGCCCTCGGGGCGCCCCCTCCCCGCTGCCGAGTCCGATGGGGCATGAAAGCGGCGGTGCGCCCGGGGGGAACGTTTGGGGGGGGGGTCGAGGTTTTCGGGCAATGTCCAGTGTCGTCGCTTCTCGGCGGACCTCCAGCCTCGGGGTGCTCTCCAGCCTCAGGGGTTGGGGAGGGGTGCATCGAGGCCCCAGCGGCCATTGATCGCCTGCAGGGGCCCGCCCGTTCTCGCAACAAAAGGCTTCACGACATCTGCCGTCCTTCAACTCGTGCTGGAACGGCCACGGTTTGCTCCAATGTTCCGTGGATTTCTGCGGATGTGCTGGGACTGACCCGCATTTGCCTGGACGTGCCTCGATCTATCTGCATCTGCCTTGCTTTGCCCGTCCTGATTCCCACAGGTCGATGGGCGAAAAGTCGTCAAGCCCTTCGGGACGTTCCCCGCCCCGAGGTCCGGGGCCCTGGAAGGAGGGGCAGCGTCAGGCTTGGCGGCGCGCCCGGGGAGAAGTGAGGAGGGGCAGGCCTTCTCAGAAGGCGGCGGGGCTTCTCAGAAGCCCCGCGGCCTTCTGCTGAGATGACCGCGGCGGCCGCAGCTGCGCGCGTTGAAGGTGGCCATCGTGATGTCGACGCCTAGTATTCTTGGTGTTCTCGTCATCGGATGGCTGGACGTGCTCAGGTACTGCTGCCGCTGTTGGCGCGGTAGCTTGTGGCCCATCCCATGTAGGCTAAGGGAACAGGGGACTTCGAATCGTATGCTAAAGTAGTTGTACCTGGCCTAACCTACCATATAAGTGGGCTGGGGGAACCCTGAATGGTTTCGGAGGTTGACGCTCCGGGCCAAGTTGGGAGCCGCCCACTGAGTGGAGTGATCTAGCCTCCCGAACACTAGGTCGGGCATGTCCTCCTACAGGCGGATTTCGGACGAACAATGTAGCATACGCAAATAATACTTTCAGATCATCAAACATAGCCCAAACATCGTCCCCATTTTATTTTTCTACTATTTTTGAATGTTCCTCCTGTAGGCGGACATGCCCGACTTAACCTGAGCATCCACTTCCGACGCCTTTATCCCCTCACCAACCGCCGCGGTCGTCTCAGTGGGAAGCCTTGCGTGCCTTCCTGGGGAAGCTTAGACAACTTTCTTAAAAGCTGGAGGCCTTCCGAGCCTCGTGGGCAGGCATGCCCCTTCTCACGTCCACCCCGGGGGGCGCGCCGCCAAGAAAAAGGGGGGGACACGTGTGAGCCCTGCCCCTTTTCCTCCTCCTCCTCCTCCTCCTCCTCCTCCTCCTCCTCTCCTCCTCCTCCTCCTCCTCCTCCTCCTCCTCCTCCTCCTCCTCCTCCTCTTCGTGCCCCCCCCCCACACATCCCCTGTCCGAGTGTGAGTGACAAGGGGGCGGGGTTCCAGGCTCGAAGTGTTCGTGCGTTTTCGTCGGTTCTTGGCGACTTCCCAGCCTCGGAATACCGTCCAGCGGCTGCGCTTCGCAGAGTGCGTTCTGCGGGTTCCTGGATCTTCTAGAACGGCTGCCAGAGGCCCGAGTTATTACCCGAAAGCCACCGGGGGGAGCGGCTCAGGCGGGGGAACATCGACCTGGAATCGGCGATACATCGCAGATAAATCGGCGACAGGCCCCCGATGGCGAATCCGCACTCTCCCGGGCGGGTGTGTGCGTGTGTTCTCTCTATCTCTCTCTCGTGTGTGTGTGTGCGTGTGCGCCGGGGTCCTTCCTTCACTGGATGCGCCCCGGGCCGTGGGGAGGGCGCCGTTACTTCCATACACCCATTCGGTGTCCCCCCCCCCCAGGCTGCTCCCGCTCAGGTGTCATCTCGCCCTCCGTGCGCCTGGGTGCGTCCTCCGGATGTGCCCCAGGCAGCGGGGAGGGCGCCAGCAATTTCGACACTACACCTATTCGGTGCCCCCCCCATTCTGGTTTTAACCCCATTGACACACACGGTGGTGTGAAGGACGACGTGGACACCCCTGGCGCACTCAGTGGCGCGCATCATGACGAAGATGGGCGGAAACCCACTTGCGGGGCGGACTCCGGCGTTTCTTCCCGAGGGGGTTCCCTCCACGCCGCTGCGCCCCTTGCCGAGAACTCTCCTAGGGCGTCCGATTCGTCCCGGCCTCCGACGATCCCGCCGAAATGCCCCCTGGCAGGAAGGAACAATTTACAGAAGAGGACTGGGGGCTCCGGTGACGGGAAGCAGAAGAGGTTTGCAGCGAAGACCACCAACGACCCCACGGCCACGAATCACCCCGGCGAAGGAGACGAGGAGCAGGGGTTGATTACGGGGGCCGCCAATCACCCCCCAGCAACGGCTGCCTGCATCGACGCGAGGCAAAGTTGCCCCCGCGGCGGACAAACGAACCCTGTGCCAAGACCACCCTACCAGAAATGCACCGTCCCGGAACCGGCGGTCTGCCGGGCCCCGAAGGGCGCATGCCTGCCCTCCGGCCTTGTTCGGTGACGCCTCGGCCTGGGCGTGTGGTGGCACTCGGGTTGCCTGCACAGGGAGAAGGTCCTCGTCGCCACGGAAATACTCTAGAACAGAGGGGCACCACCGTAGACACCACAAGCGTCCCTCGTCGCCACGGCTGGAAATCGGTACTCCAGACCAGCCCGCGGTCCGTCGGCAATTCTGCCAGAGGGCTGCTCGCTCGCTGCTCTGCCAGCTGCCCCTTCCGCGCCTCGCAGGTGGGCCGCTCCCTCTCCCGCGCCTGGCTGGTGGACCGCTCCCCCTTCCGCACATGTGGGCCGCTCCCCCTTCCGCTGGTGGGCCTCCCTCCTTCCGCCAAGGTGGGCCGCACCCTCCCGCCCAGACGCACTGGGCACAGGTGGGCTGCCCCCCTCCGCCTGGCGCCTCCCTTCGTGCCTCGCGGGCGGGCCGCTCCCCATTCCGCACTGGCGGGCCGCTCCATTCCGCTCATCAGGTGGGCCGCTCCCCCAGCACTCGTGGGCCGCCCTTTCCGCGCAGGCGCTCCTTGCCTGTACCTTGGTCGCCCCCCCTTCCGCGCCGCCGGACTGCTGGTCTCGGCGCTCTCCGTCCCAGCCGTCGACCGGGCGACCCCGGCTGCCTCTGGCCCGGGTCCCCGCTTGCCTGCCTGGTTTTCAGGCCAGCCTCTTGGCCATCCACTGGTCTACTGGTGGGTGGGTCGCTGTTTCGCTGCTGTGGCGCCTTGCACTGCCCTCCTGCCCCCGCGCCTCGTAGGCCCTCTGGCCTCGGCGCCCGCCCACTCACCGCTGGTGCTCCCAGCAACACGCCGCTCCCCCGGATGGCGTGGCTCCGCCGCTTCGTCCTTCGTCCCCCGCCTTCACGCCGGCCCGCGGTTGCCGCGCTAGTGCGGCAATCTCGCGGCAGCCTGCGCTCCGCCCCTCACGCCTCCCGCCGCGCCTCGTAGGCCCCCAGGTCTCGGCGCTTCGGCCCACCCCTGGGGCTGCCTTCTCTGCCGGCTCCCCCATCGGTGTGGTCACCGCATCGCGTGTGCTGCTCCCCAGTCTGGCTCTGCCCGGCCGCCGCTGGGCCGCCGCCCACCGCCCCATCTGCTGCCCGGCGCCGCAGCTGGTTCCCCCACCACGGCGCTCCCCCCTGCCGCAGCCAGTGTCTTGCCTGAGTGGGCCTGGCTTCCCCTCTTCCCGTCGCGCCGGGGCCTCCTCCTCTTCCCACGTGTGTCGCGGCCTGAACTTGCATCCAGTGCGCCCCCTGATGACCGATCGCCGGAGCAGTCACCCTCTGCCCAGCCGCCGACGCAAAACGTGTGTGTATGTGTGTGTGTGTGTGTATGTCTGTGTGTGTGTGTGTGTGTGTGTGTGTGTGTGTGTGTGTGTGTGTGTGTGTGTGTGTGTGTGTGTGTGTGGGGGGGTGAGTGTGTGTGTGTGTGTGTGTGTGTGTGTGTGTGTGTGTGTGTGTGTGTGTATGTCTGTGTATGTGTGTGTGTGTGCGTGTGGGCTATAAGGGCCCCTGTCGACGATCGAGGGGCATTGGGGGCCGATGCGTCCCCCCTGAGCCTGCCCCCCCTGAGATCGTCCCTTGGTCTTCGGGTCAGAACTCGGCTCACCGGCGGCCGTTCGGGACGATCCCGGCACCCCCAGGATGCCCTCGACGAGGCGCAGCCGACGGAGACCACCCTGGGCCTCGGATATCATCTAAAACTCAAGAACTCTACGGCCCCCCCCCCCGAAAACGATGGACAACCAGTGAAAATTGCGGAAAACTCCGCCCCCCCCCCCTTGAACCCATCTCCCCCTTGTGCTGCCCTTGTAGCGTTGCTCCCGACGTGGGCCCGCACCACCAGACCACTCTGGCGAAGGGCCACTCAATACAGTCATCGTGCTGACCTCCTCCTTCTCCTCCTCCTCTTCCTCCTGCTTCTCCTCCTCCTGCTTCTCCTGCTCCTCCTCCTCCTACTCCTCCTCTGCCATAGGGAACACGCTGCACAAGGAACGAAGGGGCCCTTCTGGCCACGACGAACCTCGGCCACGAGTGATTAATTCCCCCCGCCGCAGATCTCAGGAACCTGGAAAACCGGAAAACCCGGCCGCCTACCGAACTCGGCGGCGAACTTTCGCCAAAACCAATCCCCAAACATGATCGCGTTGTTGAAAAATCCAGACGGGAGGTTTTTGGCCAATTTCGGCCTCGGGGGGCCCTCGCCGGGCCTCGGGACCGTCAAACAACGATTCAGGATGAAAAGCCGGCCCCGGGGAAAGGGTCTGGACTTCCGGGGGCGCCGTTCTGAAAAACTCAAGACGTAGCATGTCTGGGTCTGGAACCTGGAAACGGGGACCTCTCCTGAGATCCTGGCGACGTATGTTTCTCGAGCTGGGCGTTTTCGCTCCATTCCATGCCCCTGGGCCTCCCTCACAGATCGATCTGGCACAAGAAATGAGTCAGGAAGATGGGGTCTGGGGGTCTAATCTTGTTTTTGTTGCGATGTAACCATTTTCTGGCAACGTCGGATCTCAAACCCAAAAGTAGGAACCCGGGAACCCTGCCGCCTACCGCAATCGGCGGCGATCTTTCGCCAAATCTTGGAATCTCCGCCAGGACCCCTAGAGTGTAAACACTGATTGGGGAATGACCCGATGCATGTGCGCGGCCCAGGGGGTGGGGGAACAGGGGACGGAGTGAAGTAAGAAGAGGCGCCAGGAAGTCCAGTGAGATCTCATTGCCTCGGCCATATACGGTCGAGAACTTTTGGAACGCGTGTCGCCGCGGCGGCCCCGCCGGTACGCTGTCCCTTGAACGCGGATGCCGTGTTGCTCCGTTCCGCGGGGCGGAAGGCTCGCAAAGGCTCGGGACATTGACTCGTTGACACCTGGGGACCAGGATGCGGACAGCGTGTCGCTCCGAGGCGTGGTGGGCCAGAACCAGCAAGCGACACGCTATCCAAAAGTTCCCGACATTACCTGATCGCGCCAGAGCCGAGGCACGCCTGCCACTTGCTCCACAATCTTGACTGTACCTATCGCTGGCCCACGAGAGAGGCTCGCCTCCGCGGTGGCCGGGCACCATGGATATCACCGCCGCCCTCATCAGACAAGGGATCCTCCAGGGTCTGAAGCCTCCTGGGCACATTCCTTAAACGAACGCCCCGGCCGCAACTGATCTGGGGAAACCAAAAGGTACCAATACCGCTATTCCCCTGGATCTCCCCTGGGGTGCGTTCTGACGAGAATTTCGAGGCGACTCCAGCGGTGGCGACGAGGGCCTCCCAGGATACCCCAAAAGGCGAAAACAAGGGAAAGGTAGGGATATGGAGTAGGGGGACCTTCTCCTCCTCCAGTGATCGTGCAAGAGTCAATGCGCGTGTGCCACTTGTTTCAGCGTCTTGACTGCGCGTGTCGCTGGCCCGCGAGAGGACCAGCGAGTCCGAAGGGTGCGGTTTGCAAAGGAATCGTCTGCAACCGCCACCCTGGGGGGCACCCTGGGCGGGAGGGGACCTCGATAGAGCTCTCCGCCGCGCCCCGAGGAGGCCCCACGAGGACAGCGTCGCGCCCCCAAGGTCCCAACGGCGCCGATCGCAAACCACACCTCCGGCGTAAGCACACCCTTGGTAATCGCCGAGAGGAGGCCCGCCTCCGCGGCGGCGGGGCATGGGCAGCCCGCGGGCTCGGGCCCCCCGCGCTCCTGTCGCGGCGGGCTCCGCAACCCGCGGCCCGCCGTCGCCGGCGTCGTCGTCGTCGTCTTAGTCGTCGTCGTCGTCGGCCTTCTTCTCCTTCAACTGCTCGTCGTGTTCGTCGTTGTTATCGCCGTCGTTGTCGCCGTCGTTGTCGTCGTCGTCGTCGTCGTCGGCCTTCCCCGTCATCGTTTTCATCGTCGCCATCGTCTCCTTCGCTCCCGTAGTATTTCTCCGCTCCTTGCTCACTAAGTGGGCCAACAAGGGAGCGCCACCATTCGCGAAGCGAGACCCCGCCGATGCGACATATGATGCCTCCGAGGGCAAAAGCAACATCGACCCCCTCCCGCGCAACCCCCGCTGCGGTCCCTCCCGCCTTTGAAGGCCGCGTGGCTTGGGTGTGGAGGCGAGAGGGAGTTGCCCTTCGGGCTCAAGCGAGGCAAGTGTTTTGGGGGGTTTTGTTCGAGCACCTCAGCATCTTCATCCCCACAACTCCTGAGGATCGGGGTGGGATGCGTGCGCGCGATATCTGGTAAAGCACCCCCTCCTTCTCCCCTCTTCCTCCTCCTCCGCCTCCTCCTCCTCTTCCTCCTCCTCCCCCCTCCTCCTCTCCTCCCTCCTCCTCCCCCTGAACCGCCGTCCTGGCTCGAGGCTTTGGGTGCAGCGCCCAGGTGCCTGGGACCTCCCCTCTGCGAGCCTCCTCGGGGTCGGCTGCCATACGTGCTGTCCCGCGTCCGCCGCAGGCTTGCCGTGCTGTCAGGTGTGCCAGATCGCACCCACGACGGTGCGCGAGCTCCCTCGCTGTCGCTGAGACAAGGAGCCCGCCTGCCATCGGCGCGTTCGCGAGCGCCGATCAGCGGCACGCTCGCTCATCCGTGTTGCTCGAGCAAGACTTACTCTCAAGACGCATCACAGTGCCATGGGAGGCCGGAGCCCATCATGGGCAAAGAAGTCCGAGCCTTGATTCTGTTCGCGATGTGGGGCCTCGCAACTCCCATCATCAACCTGGTGTCTCCAGTGTTGGCCGGACAGCTCTAGTTCCAAGGCAAAATCGCAGAAGACCAAGTGTCGCCAGGATCGGTCGCTGTCTCGTGGTGCGGGACGGGCTTCCCCATCGGCGTCGCAGGAGAGTGCAGGCTCGTCGGAGTCAGTAGCGCCGTCAGACGCTGCTGCTCCTGCTGTGCCTGCTGTGTCTCCAGCGTCCAGCAAGTCAACGGCACTGGCGACGCTCAGTGTGGCGAAAGCTCATCCAGCATGGGTCGAGCCACCGTCGGATCCTGCAGATCGTGCCAAGCATCGCCTACACGTGAAGGACTCCATTGCCGCGCTCGAGAAGCGCATCGTGTCCCTGAAGGAGCTCAAATCAGATGCGTCCCGCACTCTCGAGTGCGAGACAGAGTTGTCAGTGCTGCAGCTCATGTACCTGTTCGCCTACCCTGCCAAGGAGAGAGCGCATAGTCAGCGCTCGTACGTGGAGAGGGCGTCCAAGCGCCCCGAGCAGGCCCAGACTTCAGAGAAGGAGGCGCAGGCTGCACTTGCCGCTGTGGTCCTTCATCGTCAGAGCTTGGAGCAGGACCTCTCGCAGGCGTCAGCCACGCTCAAGAATTTCGAGCCCCTGGCGGAGCTCGAGGCCAAGTCGGTGGTGTTCCAGGAGGTCCAGTCCGACGTGGATGCCGCCACAATGTTCAGGCAAACTGCGGCGGGCTCGCCCTTTCAAGCTGGAGAAGGAACTGCGGCTTGTCCGGCATTGCCGCAAATGATCGCACAGTTGCAGCTTGGTCAAGCTGGTCTGATTCAGAGCATCGCCTCGGTCGCTGCCACGCTCCAGACTGTCCAGGCCAACCTCTCTGCCCTGAGCGCGCAGACGGCGGCCGCGGCTGCCAGTGCTACCGCAGAGGATGTCCACGTTGCCGTTGGCACAGGTGGGCGCAAGAAGGGTGGCGAGCCCCTCTGCTGCTCAGCATCGAGACTTCGCTTAGCAGCGTGCAATTGCCAACTCGCCAGGCCAAGTCAAGCTTGTTCATCCCGGAGGAGATCTGCCAATGGAAGAAGAGCAAGCACGCGAAGCGATATGCCTGCCAGCAGATGGCGCCCGGGCCGCGGCGGTAGACGACATGACCGACAGCAAACCTGGTGCACTACTGGTCGAAGGAGAAGTTGGAAAAGCTACGCAGTCGTACGATGCAGATGGACGTCCAGCCGCGGCAGCTGGAACTCCTCAACCAATATTTCACAAGCCCGAGTGGGGTCATGATGTTCCGACAGGTCTCGGGTCTCAACCTTTGCATGCTGCCGTCCCTCTCTCGGGCTTACCCCCAAGCTCTACATCTCTTGAGGAGGAGAATGGCCATCGTGCTCGTGGCTGTACGCGCAGTCCCATGCCCCACACTTATCAGTTAGTCGATCATCTTCTGGGGCCCTGGTCCATAGGTCTCTGCAAGCAAGTTTGGGCATTTGCTAAATACTGGCGCTCCCCTACCATTGCAGAACTACCGCTGCTGTCTTCTCCGGGGGAGCTGGTGGAGGTGGTGCCCATTCATATTTACACTTTCGGCTCTGGTGGATCTCGATTGGGATCTCGCGCTTCTGGAGTTTCCACTCGTCCTGGTTTCGGGCCCCCAGCTTGGGCCTTTGTTGCATTCGTGCGCGATGCTGCTGGTCATGGTGCTCTCTTGGGGTTCATGTCTGGCACTCTGCAATCTGGTGGTATTCCTTCGAATTGATCGGCTCTCGCCTCGGAGATTGTGGCTGCTCAATGGGCCATCGCCTGGTTTTTGCAATCCGAATGTCGTGATTGGGATGTTCCGTTACACATTCTCGCTGAACGTCAGGAGGCCATCAGGATTGCTGGGTGTGGTGGCGCTCTTAGTACCTCGCTTAGCGCGCATCGTCTTTCCCTAGACAGCGTGGCTAAGGTGTCCAAGGTTTTCTCCCAGAATTTGCTGGGACGATGTACTTGGGCACTCTGGGCATGCTTGGAACGAACTGGTGGACACTATTGCTACCCTTGCGTCTATGGGGCACCCTACGGTAGATAAGCCTGATATTTCCTGGAGAACGGTTTTGTCGGATCCCGTGGCTCTAAGTTGGGCGTGGTGGGCCTTCGACGCTCGCATGTTCCAGGTTCAAGTTCCCCCCGCTGGCGCGTCGCCCACGCCTCCATACCGTCCAGGCGCTGATCCAGCTGGGCCTCTAGTATCGCTGCTTGGCCTGAGTGCAGAGATCACGCCGCCAGTTGCTGCTCGGCCGCTGGCTGTCAGGCGCTGTGCACCAAGCCTCTTTGGATGGTAGCAGCCAATCAGCCAATGTATTGACTTTCGATCCGAAGGCGCCTGCGCGGGCTAAGCGTAGTCGTTTTACTGGCTTGTACATGCTTGGGCTAATGACACACATGGGAGACATGCTTCATCGTCAGGGACTTTTCCTGGCCGGGACCTTGGGAACTCGTTTTTCTCGGAGTGCGACCTCTCGTATCCAGGGGTCTCATGTCATACATGTCGGGTGTGCCTCTGATGGCAAGTGCGGGCGCTGCTTGTGGGTGGACACGTCGTGTGTCGAACTGCCACGTACTAAGATTGGTGCCGCGCACTGTCGCGTGCTATGTGCCGATCCCCGCCTGCTTTTTGTCTCTATTGCCGTCAAGCAGTTAAAGCTGGACGTGACCGTTTGCCCCGCACCGCACAGCAAGGCTACAGCGCCTGTCTTGCACGACTGGTTGGATCACACAAGTGCGCTTATTCGTCGCTATCGCTCGCCTGGGTCAGAACTTGTGTGTTTCATAGATGCTAATGCTCGTGTGGGTTAAACTGTGTCGAAGCATCTCGGACTTATGGCCGATGTTGCTCAAAATCTCCCTGGGCAATGTTTTAACAAATTCCTCAGGGATCTGGACCTTTGAGCGCCGTCGACCTTCCTGGATTCTGGCGGTCGTCTGCTAGTGCGTGGTTCCCCCCTGGCAAAACCGACGGTCCTGGACGCCGTATCGACTATGCAGTCTGCTCGTTTGGTGTGCAAGTCAAGCTGCAGAAAGTACTTAGTAACATTGATCTGTCGATCTCTTTTCTTGGCCACCTGGTGGTGGGCATTCTTGCCACCATCCCAGCATCTGCCAAGAGTCTCCACCCAGAGTTAGCAAGTTGCAGTGTGACCGTGCCATTTTCAGAATGCGGAGGCTCGCGTCCATTTTCAAGAGCTGCTGCATGTGGGACCTACTCTGGCTTTCGATATCCCAAAGTCCGAGCACTGTCAGATGTTGTCGTCTTATCTTCGGTCGGCGCTTGAGGTCGCGTTTCCTGTTCGTCAAACACATCGTGGCCGCAAGCCTAGGCAACCTTGGGTGATTCCTCATCTTCGTGAGTTTCGGCGTCTGCGTGTCAGATGCCGTCGCGCGCAACTTGCCATGCTCTTCGATGCCTGGGCCGTCCCGCTCAGAGGGGCTTGGTTTATTGCTCGCTCAGGCTGCCTTAATATCTCTCAGCGTCGCCGTCGGTCCATCCACCAAGATTGGCTTCGCCAAAACCGCGCTGCAGTCCAACTGCTCAGGCCGATGGCTGTGGATGCTGCTAAGGTCTATGAGGCGGTGGTGCGCTTCCGGCTCAGACGCGCTAAGGGTCGGGCTTGGATTATTCCAGACTGTCTATCGGCTTCTCTTGGCAAGCTCATAGATATGGATATTGGCATGGTGAAGGCAAATGCTACTGCTGCCTCTTGGGAAGCGTCTCTTGGGCTATATGCTTTCTCCTCCGCCTTCCGCAGTTCGTCCCTGCACGTGCCTGCTGCGGAGGTCTGTCAAGCTGGATGCCACTCGGCACGCGGCCGACATGGCGGCGGAGGCGGCCGGTGCCGAGCCACGGGCAAAGACTTCCTGGAGGCCTTGGCCAAGTTGCGCGCGCTATGGGCGCCTGCTCTCGCCGCAAGAGCTTGCTGCCGAGCCTCTGCCTATTTGCTGCCGGGGCGGGGTGGGGAACCGCTCAGAACGTTCGTCGATGTCGCCAATCGTTGGGTCGATCAC